AGGTTTGAATGCACCGTCAATGTGTATGCTTGTGTGGAGAACAAGCTAAGACTGGTTGGAATCCTTTTTTCCACTCTCCACCTTGCCCTGAACCAATTCCTCGTAAGGTGGTGGTGGTGGTGGTGGTGATGACTGGCACGCGTACACAATTGCGTGGTGGTGCACTGAGGGTCCGCACAGCGGGACAATTTGCTGTGGAGCAACCATCGAGGACGCCATTGTTGGATCGTAGATAAGGGACTTTGCAACACAGGGTCCTTCTTTTCCAGGCACTGGTGTCTTCGTTGCCTCAGTGAAGAGCGCTTTATGCCTTGTCAGGGTATCTGCTGAAGTACAAATTAAAACTGGTTCCGCCATTGCGCTGGAATTCCAGTACACAGAACTGGGTCGAGTTGGCAGAACTGGTCTTTGTAACTCCTCGAAACCAGATTTCTTGTGTCGCCAGATTTTGCGACGTCGAAGAAAGAGAAGGAGGGAAATGAAAACAAGGAGGGAAACCAAAACAACGATAGAAGCGACAACAGCACAACGAATGATTATGAAAGTGTTTGGCCAGACGGTCCCAGTATCCTCTTCCTCACAAGCAGAGGTCCCGGGAGACGCTGAAGGAGACTGAGGGGGGGAAGAAGAGCAGGAGGAGGGAGAAATGGGAGAAAGGGTAGTGTTTTGAATGGGGACACTGCAGTCATGGCCGGTCCAACCGGGGGTGCACAGACATTCGTAGGTTCCGGGCCGGTCGCGACAGGCCGCACCATTCTTGCAGACGGGGGTAGTACATTCGTTAACATTCTGACGACAGGTAGGACCTGTCCAGCCTGGAGGACACCGGCATTCCACGTGGTGTGCTCGGTCGACACACTGACCTCCGTTGGCACAGAGTAAATCTTGACATGCTGAGTAGCTGAGCTCACAGTGGCGGCCAAGGAAACCAGACAAGCAGACACATTGGTAACCCTCACTGTCTAGAGCTAGTTCCACGCACTTTCCACCTAGACAAAATCGAATTTGGATGTTAAAAGGTTGAAAGACAACATGGTAAGAAGTGGATCTACTAATGTATAGATTTTGCTGTCTCCAACTTCTCCAGTTTCAATTTTTCATAGGTGCTGACAAGACCTAAATAGAATTGACTGGTGCTACTAAATTACTAGTCAGTAGGATTGTCTAGCTAAGGCTACAGCTCATCACATCAGTCATTAAGCAAAGAAAAACGTATTTTACAAGATTACATCAAAAAAGTGATACCAGAGGTCTTGAGATTTGTTTACATTCTCTCTGAACACTTATGAGGGACATCCATTTTTCTAATCATATCAAAAGTGGTTTTCATTGATAGCTGGGTCAATTGCAACAACGATCGCTTGACACATTCATTCACAACCAGTGATGACGTGTGCAGTGTTAAGAAAAGGGCGCCTTTCATCGCCATAAATACACAGTACTGCATTCATCCAACGTGCCATAAAGTCACCTTTCCAAGTAATACTACCACCAGCCTCCCCTACTCCGTCCCACACTAATCTAACCCACCTCTTCACATTCCACGGTCTCACGCCGGCATGGCCGACAATGACCACCCCACACACACTGCCTCACCATTAACACAAGCACTCACGTCCACACCGACTCTGTGCTGCAAACCCCTCCTCCACATCCAAGCATCCAACATCCACGTCAACTCAACGCAGCCTCCTGAGGTCGAATACGTCCACCAATGCAAAGGATAAACGACACTCGCCGCATCATTTCTCCCCTCTGGCTTGCTTACCAACACTCCACCTGTTTGTCCAGGGAGAGCCATAAAACAGA